TTGATTTGCTCTCTAGATTCTTTTCGAGAGCGCTCAGTTCATCCCTGGAGTATGCAAGGCGCTGTTCTAAACCGGTGAGCTGGCCCTGAAGGGACTCTTCTTCGGATCCTCTACGATGCGCCTTGGGAAGATTAGCCAAATCTGCCATCAGCTTGTCCTTTAGCTTGTTGAGGTTGGCGATTTCCGTATCTTCCCAGCGTTTGGCATTGCGCTGTCCCGGACCACGACCACCAGTCATCAAGCCTCCCTTGTGGATAACGGTACCATCCAGCGTCACGGCCTTCGCCTCGACTCCTTTCTCGTAGCACAGGTATTTAGCAGTTGCTAGATCGTCGCAAACTATTGAATTCCCGCAAGCATACGTAATGGCGCGTGAGACAGAGCTATCAAAGTCGACTGTTTCAATTGCCGGACGCATGGCACGATGCATACCCTTCAAATTAGAGTTGAGTGCCTTGACCTGAATAGTCTCAAGAGGAATAAACGTAGCTTGACCCGCACGCTGATCACGGAGATGCTGGATGCATTCCTTTGCGGTCTTTTCGTTATCAACGACAATTGCATCAAAATGGCGTCCTAGCACAGTGCTCACTGCCTCGGCATATTTCTTCTGCTTAGGCTGGCATAGCTCACTCACACGGCCTTTGACACCCGGGAAGATACGTTTCAAAGTAGCAATCATCTCTTTAGTGCGCTGCTCCTTTTCACTTTGCTGTCGTCCATCATCTGCCTCCAGCAGCTTCTTCAAGGTGACCTGGAGCTTTTCTTCGAGTTCAGTTCGCATCTGGGCAACTCGTAGACGCTCCGAGGTAAGACTATTGAGTTCCTTCTTGGTAGCATCAATTTCCTTGCTTGTAGATTTGATTGTTGCAGCTATGGCAGCCTTGCGTTCGAGTATATGATCCATATCAGTCTGTAAGTTCTTTGCTTGCCATTCCACGCTCTCAAGGTTGCTTTTCATGTTGTTAACTGCCTCCGCATCAGCCTTTCTCTGGCGCTTCAAATTATCCAACTTTAACTGTGTGCTGGATGATCGCTTGCTGACTTCTTCCTTGAGCCTGCTATACTCCTGAAGATCAGCATCAGTTAATTGGATTCCTTTGACGGCAATGGTTTGCTTCCATTCGTTCTCCCATTGGCTTTGGGCTTTCTCGACAACTTTAAGATCCTTTTCAAGCTGTTTCACTGTCTTTGCCTGCGACAGGGCTTCTTTGGACACTTCATCTACCCGCGAGGCATACTTTGCCACCTTTTTGCCAGTTATCTCAATCTTTTCATTGATGGGGACGAGGGAGTTTGTAGTTTCTTCGATTTCCTTTTCTTTCATTTTGATTCCCTTTTCCGCTCTTGAGACATCTCTGCCGACCCGGGCGTGTTCAACCTTGGCATCCTCAAGATTCTTTTCGTACTTTTCAACCCCCCGACGGAACTCTTTCAGCTCATCCTGGTATTTCTGGATCTCTGCACTTGACTCTACAATCAAGCGCTGGAAGTGGAATAGTTTCCAGAGGATGTGAGTGATGATGGCCTGGTCACGTTCCTCAGCCTTGCGGGCGTATGTCTCAGCTTCCCGTTTCTGTTCCTGATACTGTTTAATCTCTGAGTTGATGCCTCGGCGACGGTTGAGTTGGAAGTTGAGGTGCTCGGCGGCCTCTTCTTGCTCAGCCTTTAGTCTCTCGTAGTCGGCTTTACTTTCCAGACTTCCAGAGATTTGTTCAATCAGCCGTGTAAGGTCCTTGGGAGACTGCGAAGCAATAGACTCAACGTCACCCTGGAAGACGAGGAAGTTGCGTGCTTTAATCAATATGTTCTCTGCTTCCAATGCGTCATTGTACTGCTGAGCTGTGACCACGCGGTTGTTGATGCGGTATTCACTAACACCCTGACTCGTGATGGAGCGTTTCCACTGCTGTTCCTCACCAGCATCGTCCTCATAAACGGCCATGACCCAGGCGGACTTGGGATCATTTCTCTCTGCCGGCTCCTCCGCAACCTCACCGTTCTGGGCCCCAGACTCCCCCGCTGCCGGGTCTTTGGAGGCCGAGCCATCGTCATTAATCTTCGCAGTGCGTAGAACACGGCCCCTGTAGACTAAGTCACGAAGGTGGGTGGATCGCAAATGGGACGACTTGATTCCGAGGACGAAGGAGATCGCGTCCATCCTATATAGATCAGCTTAGCCATCTTCCCTTTCCCTCGTTGTGTATTTTTTACTATTTTTCTTCCTTGCCCCATCTATAATAGGAGTAGGCTTACGAGTTTGACTTGCCGGACCCATTGGGCCCAATAATTGAAGTGAAATACGCATCGCCAAAGAGGAGCGTGTGATGACCCTTGTAGGACTTGAAATCTGCAGTGACAGTTAGCAAAGAAACGCTGCTCGGCTGAATGGGCAATGGACCTCACTTACTGAAGAGCTCGAGGCGGATCAGCTTCCCCATGGCGACCTCCCTTGCTGCCTCTACTTCCTCTTGGGTTATCTCGTCGTGGCTCGGTATTTGATGGTTATCGATCTTCTCGTTCGTCTTTTCTCCTCCTTCACTTTGGACTATCAAAAGCGCGTCGCGTGAGTCACGTGAACATTCCATTGGCTTAGTAATTTATTACATCATCCATTGTATTAGTCAGTAGTTTTTAACCAAAACTTTAACTTCAATGCTGGAAGCAACCTCCACTAGCTTCTTGTCAAAAACTTCAGCTCTGCCTACTATTCATTAGTAGTGTGGGATCACTCCTTTTAGTGTAGTTGCAGGCTTTGACCCTTATCTTTTAATCAGCATATGAATCTGCAATACCGGCATATTGATGTTACAACTGAGAGCAATCCGAACTCTGAGCTGAAGAGGCCAATCAATTCTATGGGCGTATTCATTGGCATGATAACTACATGTTCAAGGCCGATCCTGCACCCTACCATTACTTCTGCAATTTCTCTGGTGTAGTAACAAGTTATATATGCGTTCGCACATAACTATAGAAGCTGACGGGGTCGGGCTTGTGATCAAAGGATCTCCGTCAGTATCCCGTAGCCTCAATTTACTGTTTGTATACTTCTTTACGCTAACTATGTTTCCAGTCTACCTAGTTCTAGAGCTTTTACAGGGGCTTGAAGAAAATGGAAATAGACGAGGTAAGGTTACATAAAGTCCGTCTTAAACTACCCTGTGGATGTTTTCCTAACAATATTATTATGAATGATTTTCGACAACCATGAGGGTTCAGTTTGTACATGATTCAGCCCAATGTAGAGTGGTATTGTTTGACTAGGGGATATAATATAAATAATAAATAAGATGTTATATGTTTGGTTTAGGAGGTTCTGCTGCATGCTTGATGTGTTCATGCCTCCTTAAGGCATCCTCAGCAGCTTCAAAACCCCGTTCATTAGCCAGCTCAGCGGCTGTCAAACCATCTTCATCCACCATATCTAGATGAACCGGGTATTGTAGTAGCAGTGTCACTGCTTCAATATGGCCTCCCTGGACAGCCCAATGCATAGGAGGGTATCTTCCGTGGAAACCAACCATGGCGTAAAATGGATATTTTGTCACCTCATTGACGTCGGCTCCTCGGTCCAACAGTAACCGCATAATTTCCAGGTTTCCTTTGATTGCTGCAATATGGAGTGCTCCCGTATTTTGAATATCTGCTCCAGCATCAAGGAGGTCAACCACAAACCCGGGCCTGAAGGAGACGGCAACCCCCAATGGGGCCAAATAGATACCCAAGTTGTTGATATTCGGGTTTGCTCCCAAGCTCAGCAGGTGTCGAGCCAACGGAAATTTGTTGTGGTAAATGGCATTTATCAGGGGAGAGCCACCGTATCCATACGAGATGTTGATATTGCAGCCGCCATCTACCAGCACTTGGTATGTAGAAATGCCTCCCTTGCCCGATATGGCTGCCCGGTTTACGAATATGGAGTATTTAAGGTTGGGATAGTCTTTGACCAGACTGGCAAGGTCCTCCACCTGGCCTCCGCGAGCAGCATCAACGGCAGCCTCAACAATAGGTTGAGGTGGTGGAGCGTGATATTCAGTAAAGTAGTTAAGTGTAGAGAATTCCTTCATAGCTCGTAAAAGTTTCGATCACGGATAGATATTTCTAGTTGGGGATAGGTCATTCCGCATGAAAAACTCCGAGTGCTGGAGAACGGAACGGCTAAAACAGAGCAAAGGTGCCAACAATATATCGTCCCCTGGGAATTATTAAAGGCAGATGATAAAGCAAGGTTAAGGCTTTGTCATGTATATGGTGAGCATATTGTCTAGGGGACTCTCCCTGCATGTAGATGAATCAGCTGGCTGTTAGGCCCGGCGTAACTCCCTACTTATAACAGCTAATTTAACTCAACGGCATGATCTTCACCCCAACTACTTACCAGGAGGAGCTAACCGCTTGTGAAAGCATTTACTACCATAGCTAACTAATAAGGATGCTGGTCTATTGGGAATAATGATTAATGATTACATTCGCTGTTACGGATTTCAAAACATGAGGAAGATGTGACTAACGGCGACACATATAGATCGGTACTCTGCAAACTTGGTAATCAGGAAGAGGTCTTACAGTCAGGGCAGGGAGTGCGAGCATACTTATTCAATGTCGACTTCAAAGGTGTTGAATAATGGTATAAGTCAAGACATTCCAGCCACAAATGAATAGATGTATGTACATTTCTCGTGTCGTTGGAATAAAACAGCATTAGCAACAGGACAACACCGTAAATCATCCGGCTATCGTCCTTTCCTCCATTACACAAGGATAAAATGCGAATCAAGATGAGGCGGCCTCAGACTCCACGGATCCATATGTCTTTTATTCTGCTTGTTTGTCTCTGCGTACAATGGCTCCCGGTTTTCGCCTTACCATCGTCGGGCAATTTCACATCCACACCCACACGTTATCATCGTCATTATCACCACCACCACCACCATCATCGGCTAGAAAAACGTGTCCTCAGCCCACCTCTCCCCACGACAGAGTACGCAAAGACAAAGATGAAGCCTGGAACGCCGCATAAGGATAAAGCTATATTTTATACAGCAAGAACCCTATTCTCGGCGCTTCACCTCATTCAACGATTTAATGGCCAGGGGATTTCTGACACTGACAATGGCGAGAAAGTGATGGACATGGAGGGCGGCCCTTTTGCAGAATCAACTAAGTTATTTCTCAATGACAAAGATACCTGGGACGATGATGAGAAGGATATCGCTGTAGGCCAGGTGTCACGAGCATTTGCTGAGCGTGCAAAGGGCATTGTGCGGGTGGTATTTCCAGAGGACTATTCGCCTCATATCAGGCCCAACACCTGGACTGAATACGAATGGCCTGCACTTAAAGAAAACCCGGACGTGACCAAGGTGCTCGCTTGGTGGGTAAAGAAAGGCGGGGACGAACCCATGGGTGACGGCACAGAAATCTGGCCGTGTGATATGACGACCGACCCTAGACGACAGCCGTTTTAGCACAAAGAGCTCAGTACTGTACGATATATCGGGAGATAGAGTTGGAAGAGAAAATTAAA